GACCCCGCATGTTGTGGCAAATATCACGCGAGAGCTGCTCTGCACCAGGAGAAACCCCCTGGATGTCGCGTTTGCCCTGAGCGCTGTGTATGACGGGATATATTCCGACAGACCCCGGATCCGGTCGCTCCATCTAACGGGATATACCGGGGCAAATATCCCACCCCTTCTCCCAGATACACTGTATCTAGTACATACACAAGAGGAGAAGGGAACCTTGAGCGCCAAAGGCTATGGAAGTGGGACTGGATCCAAGATCCTTACCATACACGAAGCCCAGGGACAAACATGCAAGAACACCTGCATCATAAGAACCAAGGGGATTCGAACGAAACTGCACGACAGCATCCCGCACGCCGTGGTAGCTGTGTCTCGACATACACACAGCTGTTGCTACTACACAGACGACAGCGACGACGCAGTAAGCCGCTTCATAAAGCGAACGACAGGCGCGGCCACGGAGACAATAATCCGTTATAACACCAAAAGTGCGATACGTATGAGAGACTATGACACTGTAAATATAATGAGAAATTTGACTGAAGTCTGAAATAGCAAAATCTGGACCGACCTCCCCACACCGGACATGACATATTTTTACCATAAGGAAATTACACAAACATGTACTAACATAGATTAAGGAAACAAGTAGACTTAAGTTATTTAGCAAAACATAGCAGTAAATGTTGTACCATAGAAACAAATAAATTTAAATAATTACCAAAAAGATAGCGAAACTCGGGCCCTTGCGTGCGATGACAAGGAGAGGGAACTCACGCAGGAGCCCGAGACCGCAAAAACATAACACAAATAGAATAAACTGAAAATCCTTTTGTTCCACAAAGCATGTACAATAGATAATAAGTGAAAAAAAAAAGCGTATACATTTAATAGAATATTTATTAAAAAGGGGATGGACAATATGTCCAAATTATATAATTAATATTATTAGTTAAGTAGACATAAGTGAGCATGCCGCATGTTTGCATGATTAAATATAAAAGGCCGCACTGAGTGCACAAACAAATGTATAATATAACAAAACTTTAAAAAGTCAAACTAAATAATGGCATGGGCATACGCCTATGGAGTAATTGTAATCAAAATAAAAAAAAAAATAGGGTAATAATAAAGATTTCCATTACTGAAAATAATTAAAGTTATAGGAAAAAAAATGATGATATCTTTTGCTCCACCTTATAAATGATACCTACACGTCAACGTCCCTAATATTTGTCCCAGTGTTCATTGACAGACATTAACTAGATATCTGTCCAAAAGTTATTAGCTAGCACAGCCTTTGTTTTTTACGCACTGTCCAGAGGCTCTCCTCTATTATGGTGGGAGGATGTAGACATATTTTCTACTTTTAAACTGCACCATTAATGGTCTGCCAATCTTACAAGATATATACATATAATTATAGTTTACCCTATGGAATTAAGTCCGCCGTTTATTTGCTTATGTTTGACAATAAAGTTTAAATAATAGTTATTTATTATACAAGAGTGGAAAGTTCCTTTTTAACCGCGTGCTCGATTTGGATGACCGAGCAAGCGAAGGATTCTAAAGTTGAATCACGAGCGCAGCGAGTGATTCTAAATTAGAATCCTGAGCGTCAGCGAGGGAAACAAACGAGCACAAGGTGAAAAATCTTTCCACTCGAGTGCAATACGTAACTTTTCATCCCACCTCAGCGAGGAAATGACAAAATGAAAAAGAAAACAATTTATAATGACAAAATATTTTTATTTCAATTAAAACACATTAAGATAATCTATAAATTGAAGAAAATAATAAGAAGTAGAAAATAATTAAGAAATATTAAATGTAACGTTGCTACAGTTACTTATGTTAAGTTTAATATTTTTGTTAGGTAATGTTATGTTGGTGTTTGTGAATTGTGCGCTGTTTTGTGGTAAACTACTCGTATCAGTAATTTTAAATAGTTGTGCCGATTCATTGGATTCTATTGGCGTAAATGTTGGCGAGAGAGGGCTATTGTTTCCAATCTTATGGGGGCTCATTTTAGATGTAGAAGGGCGAGACCAAGAATCTGACAGAGGTTCTTTCAGCGTTATGGCCTCCACGATACTATTACAAATTTTTGATTTACTTTGGATTGAATCCTCTATCTATCCCTCTACAACCGAATTAGACTTCCAGCCTCCATGGCGCTTAAGCGATAGAAGATCAGCCCCTGATTCGGCCAAAAGTGTGGCTGAGGTTCTTCTAAAACAGTGACCGGTGTATAACGGGGGTTCTAAAAGTCCGAGAAAAGTTGCTATTTCTCGTGGAATACTGCCAATTTTATTCTGACCCATAGGTTGTCGGATACACTTTCCGTTGCGATATTGTAGAAAAAATCGTTCAATTGGGGTGTTAGAAGGACGTAAAGCTTGATATTTCTGAACAATGTTTACATATTCCTTGCGAATAACGAAGTTGCGGTCTTTTTTTGTCTTGGTATTTAGTACATTAATTAATAGCAATTCATCAGAATTATGAGAATATTTTGATACGTTATTGACATTAAGTAGTGTAAGTTCATTTGTTCGACATGCTCCGGTTATACCAATAATAAGAACAACCTGTAACAAAAGAAGTATTTATAATCGTAAATAAATTAATCAAATTAAAAATATTGTAAGTACTATGTACAATTTTATCAACAACAAAAAATTACACGTATTGACTTACTTTTGCCGCTAAATATACGGAATCAGGTGCTTCATTAATAAACATTGCAATTTCAGATGCTGTGAAAACCTTCGATTTTTTTGGTTTATAACCAGATGAGGCTCTTTTTAAAAATGCCACTAATTTATGATAGGTGTCGATATGAACGTCTTTCTTCATCTTAATTGTTAATTTTAGCATTGAATACGTACTCCATAGCGTGCTTGCTTTCTTGGTCTCAGATAATTCTATAAAATATGCCAGCAAAACGTTTTCGGAGAAAGTTTTTGCTCCTTTAGCTAGTCGCCACATGTTAAATATATCGTACTGTTTCAAATACTTCTCTCGTGATTGCTGAGGGAGAAGGCTCATTTGCGCATTATTAACTGTTTCAGTTAACTCAGTTGGCGTTAGATAAACTTCATCGTCGCTAATGTCACTCATTTTAGTTGATTTTTTTGTACAGTTTTTAGGTTATATTAATTATATTAAGCAATAAAACGTGAAAAACTAGAATGGCGCGAAGCACGCAAATAAAACAAAGAAACCAAGAAGGTTCCAAATTTAAATTTTTTCACAATTTAAAAAGTTCTAATCATAAATTTGGCACCATAGAGGTTACATTAAATAGGTTTAATGACGTTTTGAATTTACAATTATATTGAGTACTCATTATATGTGATGTTCTAAATTCAAATCTACTTTGCCGCTCAAGCGAATAAAATAGAATTTTCCAGCCAGATTTCGAAGCGCAAAATTACACTTTCCGAGGTGGTGGGATGAAAATATTATTATTAGATTTATACGTAAGGGGAAAACATTTGTACCCCTTTTTATCCGACCTCCAAAAACGGAGGAGGTTTTCAATTCGCCGGAACCTTTTTTATGACTGTTTAACGATAACTTGCAGACGGCTGGACCGATTGGAATATTTTAAAGGGTATGCTTAGTAGTTTATATGGTCTAATGATAGGCATTCCAACAGACATAAATAGACCTAAGTTGCTCTTCACTACTAAAACCAAACATTGTTAATTTTACTTAAATTATATATAAATGTTAATTAATAAATTAACAAAGATAAGATTTTTTTCTTATTTTTTTGCACATGCTTATTTGCAAAAGATTTAAAGCACATTTTTGCTTAAGGAGGATGGAAAGCTGTCAATAAAATATTATGTAAATTATTATTAATTTGTCAACAGTGGCATTAAATTAATAGTATTTAAGATAGTCTATAAGCTTAGAATAAACAAACATGACCAAAGCATCATAATGTTATCTTACTAATTTATTGCCTAATTTACCAAAAACTTTCGGGTTGTTTATATTAAATTAATTCTGCTCAACTTAAGTAACACAGTATACATATTATACGTATATAATGTTAATAAATGTCAGTTATGAATTCCATCATTTTAAGAGTGGATTAAACTCAAATGATTTATAAACCGGCAAAATGTGATTCGGTAATCGGATACACGGGGTATCTGTCCATAGATGCTTTCTTTAAAAATAGGCCGAGTGAAAGATATCGGGCAAATCACAATTATTTACCTATTATGAGCATACAACGGTGGTTAAGTAATTAATTCGTCCATTGGATACGAAACCTTCTGATATTATGTCATTATATAAATATATAATTCAAAAAAGTGTACTGATCGAAACAAGGAGTCATGTGTAACAATGTAATATAAAATAATAGTTTAAACAATAGAATATAAAATATATAAATTATGAGTAACTTATTAATGAAGAAATCACCCGGTTTCCGAAAATGTTTACTTTCAACGCCGGATGTTTATGTACAGTTTGTAATTCACAGTTTGCACGTACCAAATATGAAAGTCAATGACAAAAATCGACTTTTACAACTATTGCTAAAAATTTACCATGTTTACTATGTTACTTTGAAAAATCTTATAGTCTTTAAAAAGTCTGCAAGATTTAAACTGATGACAATTATAATCGCTTGCACATTGCACATACATTGAAATATACGTAAACAACTCAATAAATCCTTTTAAATTAATACATATGGGTACACTATTATTGTTATCGGGTAGATGATTGAAAATATCTAAATATCGATATTATTTTGTTGTTTGTCTTTGATAACTTCAGAAGTTTTATCCACATAATATTATTAAAATAGGTCCATTTTTTTTCAATATAAAATATAACATCTACGAAGAGAAAGTATCAGAGGGTGTTAATGGATGTTGTAATTTTTTTCTGTCGATCATTAACTAAATAGAATATAATAGTTTAAATATTAAATGGTTGAACGTCATCGGGTATTTAATAAAAGCGGGGTCGGTGGTATAGGTTTACATCGGCTGGAGTCGTAGTCTGTATAGGACGACTGGAGGCTGCTGTTCGCTAGAAGTGCGCCGCGCCCTGCCGGCTTATATAAATAGGTGAAGAGGGGCAGCGGAGACCTCTTGCACTTTCCTGGCGGCGCGCGACGCAACGACCAGTCCTCGCCGAGCGCCATGGCTCGACACGCGTATTTGTGTCTTGGTGTGCTGCTGCTCGCCTACTATGGTGAGTACACTGCATCATTTTTACAACCTACTATTTAAGGATTAGGATTTTTCCAAAAGTTAGACATCTTATATTTAGTAGGCTATAAAATTCTGTGTAGGTATTACAATATATCATCATGCGTAATTTATGATAATAGAACTAAATTTCTAAAAATCGTATTACCTTCAATTAAAAAAAAGTTATTCAACTACCAATAAAACAACACGTATAAAGATAGATACTGAAAATAAACTAATTAAACTATGAGTAATGGATACTGAATGTTTGCGTAAATATTTGAGTACTTGTTTGCCTCTTGCAGCCTAACCGCAATACATAAAGCTTATAAAGCAACAATAAAAGAGCGCCGGCTTCTACGTGGCTCGGTTACTTGGTTTGCTGGGCTGACCTCGATTTCTTTTTCAACATTTCAACTTTCAATGCCGACGTCAATTTATTTAAGAATGTAGCTATAACTTGAATGATTATCAAACTAGCCGTAAATGTAAATGTATATTAATGAGGCGCTGTATAGTTACAAGTTTGGGTAGTCCCAAACTTAATACTATTTTTAATATAATATGAGCAGTATTCGAATAAGGTGTAAGCCATGTAATGTATCTTGCTATTTCCTGTATTTGGCAACAAATATAATTAAACCAGGCAAGCACACTTAGCTTGCGTGGCATTCAGCGTCGCAATGAAACGGTACTACATTCCTTTACTGGATGTGTTGTAATAGTTTCTTACGTTAAGTTGCGTTACCTCATAAATAAGCAGTGTTTATTGCGAAAAGTTTCATTTGTTTGTTACCTTTTTTGAATATGGAAATATAATTATGGTATGTTTTTGCTATAACGGATGCACTATTCAAAAACAAACTTAGTACATAATCTGTTTTAACTTTTATCGCATTAAATGACTACAACAGTCCTTGTGTTATTTATCAAATTAACAAGAAGTAGTTTCTAAAATATACGGTGTGGTCTACCTACACTAACATATAAAAATGTAGGTACTTATTAACTCGCAAGTAACTTCTTTTTCAGTGGTAGCATATATTATAAAACATTACGTTCGGAAATAAAATGTAGTTGATATTGATATTTGATCAAATATTTCTTCCTGCATCATAAAAGGGCAGAATTCACGTCAACTTTTACAATGGTATTTAATCAAATATTAATTTGATGTTTCTAATTGTAAACGTTTAGTTGAGAGTACTAGTTTCACAGAAAACTAGCCTTTATTTTTCATATCGTCCACGTCGAATTATTTAAACTATATAAATATCGAAAATAAAATGTAGTTTATATTACGGGTCAAATATTTCTTTCTGCATCATGAAAGGGCAGAATTTAAAAAAGGCTAGTTTTCTATGAAACTTTACAACTTTGTAAGATTAAACGATCATTTAGTGAAAAAGATTAATATCAAATATTCCCTGATTTATTATGGAAATTGCAATTAATACTTATTGTTTCCGAAAATGTTTAGTAAATGGCGAGATCCGAGTGAAAAGACAAGATGAAGATAGTGGCGGTGATGACTCAACCCCAGAGCAGTTGTGCGAGGGCCGCCCCGCAGACGAGTACTTCCGCCTCACCACAGAAGGAGACTGCCGCGATGTAGTCAGGTCAGCCGTACTTACCACTCTTCCGATTATACATGACTCCATTCTTGACTGGCACTTTTGATTTTAATGTAAAAAAATCTACGATATGAATATAAACCAAGCTAGAAATATAAAATGCTCAATGTCATCTTTTCCACACATATAGTAAGTAAATGCCTTACAAAAAAATTTACAGTTTTGTAAACATTGTATCAAATTACAAACAAACGACTTAGCTTCAATCAATGTCAAAAGTAGTAACATTGGATGCGGCTTTAAAGTGACATTTATATTTTAAAAAATATTTCTTTATCTGCTGATGTAAATGAGTGATGCTTTGAGTGTGCTTAGCCAACTCCAATAATGGTTGTGACGTGAACCTATTCGAAGTCAAGTGTTGGTAGGTAATTGTACACCAGATAAGTGGTATTTATTAATTGCTTACAATTAGATAAACTTCTAACTTCACAAAAAGCTTAAAGCTGTAACTCAAGCGAGTACGAAAACAAACAAATGATTTTACTTTTGGAGGTTTGTTGCGGTGTCTATCTCGGAACCGAGCTATTTCATGAGACAGTCATATTAAGTAGCTTCAAAAACAGGATTAGTTCATTGTTCGGAACCCTAACGAACTAGAACGAGGCCAGTCTCGCGCTTGGCCAGCTTTTCAAGTAGGTTAAATATAAAGATTCTCTCAGAAACTGAAATTTAAAATTGAATTCCTATCTTTTTCATTCCACTCATTTCATTATATAGAATCATTTATATAGTTACATCATCATTATCATTTATATAGCAAATTATAAAAGAATTAAAGGAGAAACTTCTAGAAAAAAAATACGTTTACAAACAGTTCAAGTTAATGTTACTAAATGTACTTAAAGTAATACATAGGGCGCACTTAAAGTATCCATCAGCGTCAATTATTTAAATATCTACGATACTGCTACGTCACGTGACACGAAGAACCACTTCCAATAAGAGCCTACGGGTTGAAAGTGAAATCAAGTTAACTAGTTTTCTGAGGTAATCTAGTATATCCACGCGTTTCATAAATACTCAATTTGTATAGGTAGTTCAAACGCGAACATACTGATACTTTGAAAATGATTGTAGGAACAAAAGACATCAACGAGCTAGCGTCAATGAATGGAGTTTTTGTTAGGTTTAGTAGAATTTGCGTTTAAAAATATTGTAAGCGTAACATAGAAGGTGTTGGTATAACATTAGATACGCTGAAATATTCCTAATGATATTCGATTTTTCATTTTTTTATAACTGCTTTGATAGTGGAAAATTTTCAGTATTTTAAATACCTATTTGAATAATAACAGTTCGATATTTTATTTCTTATATTTTCACGTACACCAAATAGTATATTATTAGTTATAATACCCTTACTCAAAACATGACGTGATTATAAAGTTCCTATTAGTACGCGGCGACATTCGTGTCCGTGAATGGACAGTCACCGACGTGCCATAAATACCTACAAGTATCGAATATCCAAGTAAGTAAATGTTTATTCACGTTTCTGCGAAAACTGAACTAGCATGTCAATTACCTACTTAAATAATATGTAGGGGCTATTATAACTTTTAAGACAAGGTAGGGCAAAGCGGATTTCCCCCTCGAATTAGAGCGCCCGTCTGGGGAAGCAACCTCCACCTTACTACAGTAAAATAACACTATCTTTTGGTGGATGCGTGATTCTGCTGGTAAGTAAGTTGCCAGGGCTCCACAGGGTTCAGGCCGGCAGGATGAGGATACCGCATCACCTATCTTCGCGACTGGACTCCACTAACACTTAACATCAGGTGAGGTTTGATAATTATGCTAGGTAAGAAAAATATACATAAAGAAAATAAATCAAAAAGCTCACCCGTCTATATTACTTATATTTACACAAAATTAACTTTACATATTATTTTGTATCGATAAATTTAATCAATGTATTTTCTTTATGATTTTCCACTACTGAAGTTTGTTATAAAAATAATCATTTTATGATTTTATTTCTAGAGGAATATGTCTTATTGTTATTGTACTCGTGTAAAATGTTATGAATTACTTAAGCATAATTAGTATTATTATCATGTTATGTCGCTGAGAGAATCGCTGTATACAGGTGTGACAAAGGCGGTGAAGACGGCGTCACCAGGCTCGCCTCTGTGCGGTGCCCCGGCGGTCTGGCCTTCGATATCGACCGCCAAACCTGTGATTGGAAAACACACGTTAAGAATTGCGATAAATTAGAAAGTAAGTTGCGTGTATCATGGGAAGTGGATATGTGGAGGGCTCAGCTTCCTCGTCGACAGCTACGGGACGTGTGACAGTTAATACGCTGACCTTCCAAATGTCCACTTCCTACTAAGAAACGTTTAATTTTAATTACATTTCTTGTCAATGCAGGTGCACTAGGTCAGGTCTTAAACAGATCACTTGCCCGTCTGGACTGGCCTTCGATCTCGATAAACAAACCTGTGACTGGAAGGGTAAAGTGACCAACTGTGACAAACTCGAGAGTAAGTGCCGAAATAGAAGCTATTCGCGCGTAGCGAACAACCAGGCTTGGGTGAAGGGGCCGCGTCGCACTGTAGTTTAGGAGTATTGCATGAGGCCCCGGACACGAACATAGGGAGCGGTCCACGCTGGACCGGACCGCTGGTTACGCGTTAACATACTTCATTAGAACATTACATTACATAACCGATACTCGCAGATTATTTTCTAATGTACTATAAATAATTCTTAAAGTAAATTTAAATATGAAGTAGTGTTAACGCAATAACGGCTACATTCCCTAAAGTGTCGTGTTTGTCGAACGAATTAAAAATAGAACAAAGGAAAATAAATTTAACATAAATTGCCAGTTTAAAACATCACAGCAGGATTTGTAATTTTATTGTAAATATGGTATAATATTAATGTACAAGTAGCCTCTTCACAACAACAATTAAACTACCTTCACACTTCTTTTCTCTTTATATACTTACTAAAATTACGCTTCTGCTTCATTATCTTTGGTCACTAACTGAACTACTGAAGTAACACGTTGTCGGTGAAGTGTTTAACTTACTAACATTTTTAACTATTATACAAATAAAATTAAACTCAATTCTAACAGTCACCATGTGCGAATGTTATGTATAATACACCATTTGCTTTTTTATTAACTTAAGTTACTAAATCATTTCTTTGTTCCAGCAGATGTATTTATACTTACTGAATTCTTTCTCTTTCTGGACAATTCTTACAAGTCTGTTAATTTAAATCATATTCATAATTATGGCTTCCTAAAAAAATACTGACTATTAAATGTCACAAATTTAATTTTTTATGTACACATGTATTTTTTTTGCAAACAAGGGAAGGAGATTTTATGTGAAAATTATAAAATTAAAGTTAATAGTTAAAAATATAAATATATTCGTATGCGGGACTGCAAGAAGATAAATAAATAGTAACTACTCATAGTTGCGATATTGAATCGCAACGAATCATTTGCAAAAAAGATACGTTTCTATTTCTCACCTTTTTACAAAAGCTATATACCTAATTCTTTCTTTGTTTCCTAAATATGACTTTCTTTCTTTGTTTCCGAAATATGACTTGTACCACAACTAAATAATCTTAAATAAACCTCTACATTTCTATCTTAATTTCTTGGAAATCTCTCTGACAACATGATTAATGATATTGTATCTATTTTTTCCTATATTAATTGTGTTTTTCTTACTCGTCATTTTTCACCGTCATGCTTTGCCCAGTCTTCTTCACTCGAATCTATTGACCCCTTTTAACACAAACAATTAATAAAGAGTCACACAATCGAAGCTCTCGAAACCAGTAGATAAATTATACCAGTCACCTGCAATATGACGAGTGGTCTCTATATAATATTATTATTAAAATAAATAATTAAACCATTATATTTTCAGAACCCAGGAAAATTTTACCTATTCTCAAGACAGATGAGCCTATTTGTCCAGAAGGAAAATTAGCTTGCGGCAGTGGTGACTGCATAGAAAAAGAACTTTTCTGCAATGGAAAGCCCGATTGCCAAGACGAATCTGATGAAAACGCTTGTAGTAAGTATTATTTGTCAAGAAAATCATGTCATGAGAAGATTTAACTTAATGAATTAACAGTACACATTTTGCTTTAATACAATTTTATAGAATAGGCAACATAAACACTTAGTCGACGGCTAAAAATTTTTGTTCTAAAGGGGTTCCCTCTCTCTGGCATAATGTTGTTGCTCCGAAATTTATTTGCTATTAAACACTTGGCATAATCACCTTTAAACGAATATCTGCAAGGCATATTTTTTATTAAGTATAGTTATTAATTGGCAGAATCTTTATATTTCCGAATTTACAATAGCATACTTTTAAGAATTAAGCATAACTTATTAACTTTGACAAAATTTTATTCTGCATAATTTCGCTAAGATAGCCGTGCGAGCGAAGCCAGCGTGCCGCGGCAGCGGCCGGCGATGCGTTAGTCACCATAGATAATGGTTTCAATTCTAGCATCATTATCTAAACTTAAAGCTTAATTTAACATTGGTCTCTCCTTTTCATTCTGTATAGATAATAACAAGGATATTGTCAAATTTAAGTTAAGGTTTAGAGAATATATGTCAGAATCGACACCAATTCATAAATAAATAAGGAAAAGTTACATTTTTGTATGCCAAAAGTCGATTTTGACTGTAAACTTTCTGTGATTTGATGGTTCAGCTTTTTAATTATTGCGGGTATTAAATTTATCCCTAAAGATTATTCTGGCTAATAAAATTATGCGTATGAATGTATGCTACATGAGTGAAAGCCAAATGATTTTCCACGAAATGAAGTATATACCATCCGCTGATATGCATAATAATATTATGACATTAAAAGTTCTGCGTCACAAGGTACTCCCGTCCTAAAGTTCAGTACATTCGTAAAATGTTACTTTCTTTTAATAAATTAGATTTTAGTTTAGGAGTTCATAGTTTAAAATCATTTTTTGATACGTTTATTTTTATTCGCAGCTGTGGAGCTAGACCCTAACAGAGCACCGGATTGTGACCCTAAGCAATGTGCATTGCCTGACTGCTTCTGCTCTGCCGATGGCACTCGTATTCCTGGAGGCCTAGAACCGAATCAAGTACCACAAATGATAACTATTACATTCAACGGGGCAGTCAACGTTGACAATATTGATTTGTATGAACAAATTTTCAGCGGAAATCGTTTCAACCCTAACAGTTGCCAAGTTCGTGGAACATTCTTCGTGTCACACAAATACACAAATTATGCTGCTGTGCAAGAATTACATCGCAAAGGTCATGAAATTGCCGTGTTTTCAATTACACACAAAGATGACCCAAATTACTGGTCAAGCGGCTCCTACGACGATTGGTTAGCAGAAATGGCAGGCGGACGCCTCATTCTGGAACGTTTTGCAAACCTTACAGACGCCTCGATAATCGGAGTTCGCGCTCCATATTTGAGAGTAGGTGGAAACAAACAATTCGAAATGATGGCTGACCAGTATTTCGTATATGACGCTTCTATCACTGCTCCTTTAGGTCGTGTCCCCATCTGGCCTTACACTTTATACTTCCGTATGCCACACAAATGTAACGGAAATGCTCATAACTGCCCATCGAGAAGCCACCCTGTCTGGGAAATGGTTATGAACGAGCTGGACAGAAGAGACGACCCCACGTTTGACGAGTCTCTGCCAGGCTGTCATGTGGTTGATTCTTGTTCTAATATCCAAACTGGTGATCAGTTCGCCCGCCTTCTGCGTCACAACTTCAACCGTCACTATTCCACCAACCGCGCTCCTCTTGGTCTGCACTTCCACGCTTCATGGCTTAAGTCTAAAAAAGAATTCAGAGATGAGCTGATTAAGTTTATCGAAGAAATGTTGGAGAAAAACGATGTTTACTTCGTATCTTTGCTACAAGTAATTCAATGGATGCAAAATCCTACTGAACTATCATCACTAAGAGACTTCCAAGAATGGAAGCAAGACAAATGTGACGTTAAAGGTCAACCTTACTGTTCTTTGCCCAACGCCTGCCCGTTGACAACGAGAGAATTACCAGGAGAGACACTGCGTTTGTTCACCTGTATGGAGTGCCCCAATAACTATCCCTGGATCTTAGATCCTACGGGAGAAGGCTTCAATGTTAAGAAGTGATCTCTATATATTAAATTAAAAGACTGTAAACACATGTAAATAATACTCAATAATGTTATAAATAATGATGACAATGATTCTGTGGCAGGTCGACGACGTCAACATTAGTTAATATTTTTTACATTGTATTATTCCATCAATCTGTATACCTTTCAATGAAATATGGTTTTATATTTTCTTGTACCTAGGTACTAAGTTGATGTTTGCTATTCTGTCTTCATTATCTACCTATCTATCGATCAAATATTGCCTTCACCCTCTCTAATAGCAAAGATAAGTAGACTTTGTTTCATTAATTATAATTTAGGATAATACAATAAAAAAAAATTGAAATGATGTCATAATTATTATCCCTACCTTATAGAATATTCCATTTACAAAAAATATTTATTTTAGGAGCGAATAAAAAAACAGAACGGTGCTAACGACTGCAGATGCAGCGGGGACCAACGGCTTAACGTGCCTTCCGAAGGACGGAGGAACTCGAGATAGAAGATTTTTGGTCACCCATCTATTGACCGACCACTGCGAAAGTTGCTTAACTTCAACGATCGCAGCCGAATGAGCTAACCACCCGCGCCATCGAGCTCCTCACTATTCATTACACTTTTTTATTTCTTAATATTATCCTAGTTTATTATTTACTCTTATCGTTTGAGTAAATTGAAAAGTACTCGGTCCCAGGGCCTGATTTACCCACAGGCTTCGGCCGGCGCGGGCGGGCGCGACGTGGGTGGGCGCGGCGCTGAGCTGACTTATCACTACATAGTATAACACAAAGTAGCTTTCCGCTGTCTGTTTATCCCTATGTCTCTGTAAAATAAGAAACGGATTTTTTTAATAAATAGTCATTCAAGAGGAACGTTTACACGTATAATACATGCATAATATAGTAGAGACATTTTAGAGTTTCTAATGTATTTCTAATGTGATGTAAATAATCTCATTTTTTGCGCTTACGTTGCAAACGCTGGCTAAAGCCTATGAGATAGATCAAATTAATGTAGTACAGTATTGTACACCTTTAAAAGGTTTACAAAAAAGCTTGCGTTGGTATGTCTATCTCTTAGGGTAACCCACAATTATTTACGGTACGATTTTTAGCAATACAGCATTAATCCTTGTCCAATTAAGTACCGGTAAAATGGTCCTACTTTGCTCCAATATTTGCGCCAAAAAAGGGAATTATGAATATTGTTTACACTATTAATTATGAAATATATTCAGATGTATTAATTTGAAAAATAATATGTTATAACATATTATTAAAGTTAAATAAACGTAATGATTTATTTCATAATATATATAAAACTATGAATATATTCTGGGTATATTCCACAAACAATCTCCATTGAGCAAAAAGCTTTTTGAGCAAAGTTATGCTTTCCTTAATCAAACTATGCTCCAGTAATATTACGCTTTACCTTTTTTGATAGTATCAATGGTCGAAAATGGATAAAAATTAAGATAAACCGTGTTTTGAAAGAAATAATGTTATATCCCTAAATTTAGTTACAAAGTCACGTTGTTTCATTAGTTTTTTTTATATTCTTAAATTATAATAGGCACTACTATCTTAACTAGAAACTTTGTTTACAAATGATGGACAAAAATCTGTCGGAAATAAACTAACGAGATAAACTTATCAAAAATTTAAAATTATAATTAAAAAAAACCCGTAAGCGGTCAGTTCAGGAACGGAATATATTTCACGGTGGGTGCTAATTTTTTTAGGTTATTTTTGTAATTTCATTGATAAAAAGTGTATTAATAACCACTTACAATGAATAAAAAATGTTTACTTTTGAACGGCTTATGTTGGGGTTTAGTTTGCTTCAGGCGCAAAGTTACCCCATCTTACCAAAGAAAATATGAGCAAGCACGCCAAAAATGTGAGGCTAGATTATGACCAACTCAGCAATCCAATTAAATATTTACGTATTCGTTTACCTGATTATCCATATCCATACTAATATTATAAATGGGAAAGTGTGTTTGTTTGTTTGTTTGTTTGTTTGTCTTCTCTTCACGCCTAAACCGCTGAACCGATTGTGATGAAATTTGGTATATGTATAGCTTGAACTTATGAGACTGCTATAGGCTACTTTTTTTTAATTTATGTATTCGAATTTACATAATTTTCAACTAAATTAATCATTTTCAAGGTTGGTCCCGATAAGATGGCGCTACTGTCACGAAGACAGATTAAATTTGAAATGTGGAAGTTGCTATTTTAATACGAGATGGCACCACTCGTGTTCAATACCGAGTATTTTGTGTTAGTGTTTCATTTATTAAATCGAGGTAATTTTACGCAATTACGATAAAACACACTTCTTTTTCGGATACAAAAAGAATAACTTTTATTGCACTACAGCTGCACCTGACTTATGAAAAAAATTGCGGATGAAAAATTTTACAGTCCAATATTGCCACTTATAATTAAGATGTTTCGGGTGCATTCACAGTTAAATGAAATGTTGTTCCGATTTGGACATATTAAGCGATAAAACATTTTACGGTACCTTAAATGCATTATGCATTTAATATGGCTGTTCACAGCATGTAATTTAAATGAATATTTTCAAAGATTCTTCTTCGGCGCTACACTCTTGACAGAGTGATCGTGATCTTCACGTCAGGGTTGGTAGCGCGCTTCACAATAAGCCGCCATTCTGCCTTTTTTTTTATACGCAGACAAAAAATACTATTTACAGACGACGGCGCCTTTAAGAGGCACACCGCCGAACGGACCTCAAACCTGGCTCCCGCAAGCTTTACGAGCCCCAGCAGTGGCTGCCCACTGAGGACCCCGTAACCCTTACGGGCGCTTTACGGCATAAAAAACCCTGCGAACACCTACGGTAAAAAACCCTGCGAACACCTTCTAAGCTGTTTAGCGCGAAGCCGCGGGATCCCCGTTTAGGGATTCCCGGGGTATCGCGGGGACCCCGCAGACGTGCGCAGGATGGCCCGCGCGTGGGGGCTGAGTACGCGGCCTAGTGCCCACCATACCGCCCCCCGTCCGCCGCCCCCCTCTTTGCAGGACAGAACTACAAGGGGGGGCTGCCGTCACGGGGTCCGTCGGTGGCCGGCACAGCTGTAGCTATGCCGGTCAGCGAGGGACCTCCCGGGTAGGGTAATGGGACGGGCGCAGCCAGGGCGCGCCGACGTCCTCTCCTACCCGTCCTCCTTTGGTGGGAGGGAGTGGCCAGAGGATCATCCTCCCGCTCCCTCTCAGCCGCCTCCTTCTGCGAGATAACGTTCTCGCAGAAGGAGGCGACTGCCTCCCACGCCCTCTCGCTGCGGAGCATGGCCTCCACCATACACTGCAGCGAGAGGATTCGCCATTCCTCCTGCACTGCGGCCTTCCTCGTGCACTCGTGAAATGGACAGTTCAGTGCCGCTTTTATCTGATTGGTCCAGTGCATTGGTGATCTCCCGCGCGTCCTAACGCCCTAGACTTTGCCCTGCACCACATTACAGATTTAAAGTGCAGGGACATGGCGGTTACGGCGGTACCGGGCGGGGGGCCAGCGGCGCCTGCCTGTAGTAATTATAAAAAGAAAGTCATTGTTTAATATTTTATTAGAAGCCTAAGAACGATAACTTAAGCTTACTCTACAGCTATACACCGAATAGAAGCAAGGGTGGCCGCTAGTTATAAATGAAGTTTTGTATTTCTGCACTGTTTAGTGATATTCGACTGATATTAAATTTAATGCAATTCCATTTAATCTTTGTTGAAGTTTTTAACGTTACTAAATATCATCATCATCACGATGGAGTCAGAAGACAACTGCTCGGTTAGTCGTTCTCGTACTCAATCGTGGGTCAATGACTAATTGAATCATGGTTTGGCACAGAACCGTGAGCTCCCTGCCTATAATGAGATCACACGCCAGGTCCCTACTTTCCAACCATGCCATGATTCCAGTGAGCACAGCTCTTGTATTCCCCTTCCAGTTGAACCAGTGAATGCGAAAGCCTTAGCCGCCGATACAATCTTTTCATTGAACCCGATTTTTCTTATTCACGTATTTTAGCTTACCCTAGTATGGAGGTAAAAGGTGTACAAAATAAATTTTCGATGTGCGATTTTACAAAACAAAATATTTCGATTCCAACCAAACAAACAAATCATTTGTCATACCAAAACCATGAAAACATCGAACGTAATTTTTTTTGTAAAATGATTGAAAATTCGAATAATTGTCATAATAATAACATTTCTCATAGAAGCGTGACCAAGTATAATATTTTATTGATTTAATTCAGTGGTAAGCCAATCGAATGGCTCATGTTTAGCAGAACGTACCGAGATACTAAACACCTATTCTTAACACGGAAAATCTCGCTCGCCTGCGAGACGCTTTACGTAGCTCTGCCCTTGAAACAGTGTGATCGATATTATACACTGCCGAGGATCCTGATCTCGTGATGGACATGCTGCAGCAAACTTTTGCGCAGCCTGAAACCATCGTATTACATAAGAAGATGATCATCCGAGCTTTGCCCAGAATAAGCCATGACTTAATAGAACTAAGTTCATTTGCCTCCCGTATTAGAAATTGTATTGCTGTTATTAATAATTTAGACCAAAAAGAGTTTTTATATTACATCCTCAGAAAAAGAAACTTAAGATTGTTCATGATGCCACCGCTAAAACTGCTGGTGTTAATCTCAACTCATTTTTGCTTCCCGGTCCGAATCTCCTGCAGCCTTTAGCATCTTTACCTCGTCACCTCTAGAGGTGCTAGCACCAACATTCCGTGGTATAGAAGTGGGTTTGCAAAAAAGGACGTCGCTGACAGGCAGCTTCACATTCTTGCTGACGCCAGCGGGGAAGCTTACGACTGCGTTGCTTGCTGGCGTTTTACTTTTTTAGACGGTCCTGTGAAGCTGCCTCTTATTGGTAGTAAAGCGCGTTTAACACCTCTTAAACCCACTTCGATACTACGCCTTGAACTACAGGCAGCTCTCCTTGCAGCTCGGTTTGCCGATCCTATCAAATCTGGTCATAGAATTCACGTTTTATTTTGGAGTGACTCTACAACCGTGTTGAGTTGGATTCGTCCTGACGCGTCATTTGTTGCCAATCGCGTTGGCGAAATTACTGAGATTTCCAACCCCAAGGACTGGAGATATGGAGGCTCAAGGATAACAGCACTGACTTGAAGCGATGGCTCCTTGGCCCTGAATTTTTACTGCTGCCCGCTACTGAAGGGCCCAAGGAACCATCAGCACCTGAATCCTCCATTGCTTTAGAGGAGCTGAAGTCCTGTAAAGAAATGATTGGACTAACGCAACTGGAT